AACTTATAAGTCTTATTTACAAAATGCCAGTCACACAGATTAGACAAACTTTATCAGTATTTTATTTTTATTATTTGCATGTACTGTAATATCATAAATGAAAGCTGCTAAAAATAGCATTGAAAAATTTATTCTGTAGTCATACTACATAAACATTTTAATTACATGATCAAATAAATACTAAAATATATAATGTATAATTAGTTATAACAAAATTTAACTTGTCTTTATATATTTATCAATAGAAAGAAAATTTCAGAATAGAAATTGAATAAGAAATTATAAGAATTATAAACAAAAATTTTTTCCTGCTTTGTAAGAACCAAATACCCTGTAAAGAACATGTATTCTTTTTTTTTTCTGAATTAGCTTCAGCTTACAGAATAACGTTTGGATTAGAGTTCAGAAACTAAGAATTGCAAAATTTTTGTACAGGGGTAGTTTAGCCTTTACAAACTAATTTATTTTTGGTGATCACCTGGAAAGGAAGAACTTTTAAAGACAGAGAGAATTTCTCATAGGCAATATTATACACAAGTCCTTACAAATAAATTTCAATATATTATATAAAGAACATTAAAAAATTCAGTAATTTATATATCAAAAAATGAAAACAATCTTTAAAAATAATAATAATAACAACTCTTGCCAGTCACCACCTTTCTGTAGTGAGAGAGCTCAGTAATTCTGATGAACCACAGCTATGCTGCTGGAACATCTGCTCCTGATAGGATCACCCATGCCAGTGAGGTCTGTGGGGAGAAATGAAGCCAAGAGTGACTGAACTCACATCTTGTAGATTTAACCATAGTGGTAACACAATTGAAGTGTAATACCAGCTTGGACACTGCTCGGTTAACAAGGTCTATGTTCATGAGTTAGGCAGAGGCTCAAGTTTGAAAAATTTGTTAGTCTTCCTTGGCCACCAGTGGTGAAAACAGCACTGGTCCAAGTATGGCTACTGTAATGCCCATACCAATTGTGGGAAACCATCCTACTTTTGATGTTTGAGGCAATCCAACTACAGACCACTAAGGCAGGTAAACCACGCCAACAGGTTGGACATCAGAAATGAATGAGTTTATCATCCTTACTTCACCTTCACAAAACTCAAAACAGACATGACAGCATATATACAACAGTTACTTCACTTGTTTTCACAACATTATCCTCATTTCATATTCCAACAATCCTTGGTATAATAAATACAAAGGATTGTTGGACAAAAAAGAACAATTATACATAACAACCTTATACCACAAATAAAACTAGAATATATCAAACAACAAATTGCAGAACAATTATCCCAACAAACCAATACTCCCAACATCAACAATAATCACATTATCCATCAGGATCATCAAGATATATGCATTGACAATACTGTTCCTACCACCACTATTATCATTGATGCTGACAATATCAATACTTTTCTTCACTGCCTGAAATAGATTCAGGTTTAATTCATACTTTCTCTCTTCTTTTCCAAGAAGCACTCAGTAAATTTACAGGCATTGGCCCTGTGCAATGGCCATGCATTTCCAAAATCAACACTTTTAAACTAATAGGGAAAACACTACTTTATGTGAACACTTATAGTACATATTACCAGAATACACTCATTCTATTTTTACACACTCAGACATCCACACACTAATCTGTTCTGGTGAAGTCACAGTAGTGATCTAACATGGACTAAAACTACAGACAAGAAGCACACAAATCAAAAATCCTTCAAAAGTCTGCCTGGCAAAGAAGAATAGAAACAAATAAACAATATTAGATAGCAGCTAGGCAGGCTGACACAATATGCTAATAAACAAAACAACACCTAAATTAATGAAAAAACTAAAAAAAATCAAGAAAATTAAAACACACACCAAGCACAAACAACACAATGTCCACATAGCAGAATAAATTGACACACTAAAACCAAAAACCTGCAGCCAAAGCACAGAGACTCAAATGATACAAAAATTTTCTCTGTATGGAAACAACAAAATAAATTATTCACAAACAATGAAAAACTATTCTACAGGCAAATTAATACCAAATCTAGTACTAATTCCCAACACAGTGGCATGCCAACTAAAGAACTCACAAATTATTGATCTTCTCTTTGGTCTTCTGCTATCATGCACAATGCTGGAGCAGACTGGATCAAAGAAGAGAGCAAAGACATGCAGGACACATCTAGTATGCATTGTGTTGAAATAAATACACAAGACATCTATTGTACAATGCAGAAAGCACACAACTGGACAACTTATATAATCAACAATACACAAGACATACCAAATTTTCTCACACAGGGCATCACTTACATGAAACCAAAAAACACCACCACCAAAGACTGTGCACAGTACAGACCAATTACATGTCTTCCAACATTTTAAAAGATTCTTATACCAGCTAAACCATTTAATAAAATTTAATTGTATTTACATATAATGGTAAGCAAGAACAATACTTTAATTTAAACATACTTTTAATACATTAACTGTTTTCATTTTCTTACAACTAAAGAAAGTATCTCACACTTCATGTATCACTTGATTTCTTTATCGTCAGAAGAAATGCCAATAATGGTATGTTGCATTCTATACTTTCCAGCTTTAGCATCAAGTAACATTGTTGTACAGGTTGTTATATCTTCCTGCAAATAAATTTTGAAAAGGATATAAACTCTCCATATTCAAAATATGTCATTCTAGTGTGGTGTCACAAAGTTTTCCTTACAGTCATAAAGCAATCACAGTTTAAGGTTTGTAAACTGGTGTCATTTTCTGCAAGCAATGTAGATATTTTTAAAAATTTCTAAATAATTCAATGATTAACAATATAATTTCAAATAATTAGTTTTAATTTGTTAAGTTATAAGAAAGCAATTGGGCCAGTTTATATATTTTGGAAGATTAAAATTATCAAACTTAAGGGTTGGATGTCATGCCTATCTTTTTACTAAAATAAAAAAGAAACTTTCACAAAAAGGCATTAAGTAAATACAGTACGTTTAAAATACATCAAAAGCGTTAGCAGCAATAAAACGTTATTTTAAACGTATTTAATGTCTTTTTGTGAAAGTTTCTTTTTTTATTTTAGATTAAAATTATTATTTATTGTTGTAATTATTGCTATTAATATTGAAGTATATGAAATATATATTATTTCAGCGTGTTGCTTCATATTTTCAAACTTATCTCAAAATGTTATCAGTAATAAAGTGGTCAAGATAATTTATGGGAGTTGTAATTTTGTGGTTTTATTGAAGTGTCATATCAGTTTACTCATCATAAAGTAATATTTTAGATTGCAATTACTAGAAATAATATTTTTTTTAATTTTATGATTTGATAAAAATGTTAAAACTCTTTACTTTCAAATTTGTGTTTAGACTTTGGAGCCATCTATTTTAAGTGTACAGTTTAAGGAGATGAGGGAATTGCATCATTGTACTGTACATGGAGAGGGAGGAGGTTGTAAGATTGTCTGTGGATTTGTTTTTTCAGTATTAATGCCACAAATTTGTTTTTATAAGGCTACTTGCTAATCATGTGAATAAACTATCAGGAAATATTTGCATAACTTTTTAAAATCATTCATTTAATGTTGAGAGAGTATAAACTACTGTATTGTACATGTAATTAAAGAGGAGAGGTTTTGCAAAAAGTACATCATTGTACAAATCTGGGGTCAAAAGTGACTCAACAACTATACATGTAAGTAATGGACAGCCCTTCATTACTGTGTAATTCCTTTTGTTTTGAGATAATTCAGTTTTATATCATACCCAATTTAGTGCCAGTTTCAGAGGTAAACAAATAGTGTTGCTAAGTTGAAATTTGACTTTATATTGACTGACTTCAAAATGATTAGTGATTTAGTTTGCAATGAGATGCATGATTTGATAGCAGCTCATTTGATTTAGTTCTGACTTAGAATATATATTATTACATAAGCTAATTTCTTTTCCTTTTAACTTTTTTCTTTTCTACAAGTGATACAATACTCTCATACTGATGGACCAGCAACAACAGATCACCAACCAGTGTCTCCTCCATATTGCATGCACTAAACCAAACACTAGTTATGACAAAGTGGATTGCTTTAATTTCCTTCCTCTCTTCCTATAGTTGAACTAAATATTTTCCTAGAGGAAGAGATTCTGCATTGAGATCAGATCTTCTATCACATAACAATAAACACAGTCTTACTGAGTGAGCATTGCTTTATTAATAAAATTAGATAAACATATTTTCATTCATTTTTTTTAATATTATTGGCATTAATATTTATTGTATTAAATTTCTTTTCTTTTGAATATATAAATATTCATAGTATGTTGTAGATAATTTGTCAAATGTTCTCCTCCTATATAGTAGAATAAGTAATATTGCTAGTACTTTCTGTGATTACCAAAAAAGAAGATACTTCAGTTAGATATAATGTAAATACAGAAACACACATCTCAGTTTGATTATTAGTTTCTAAATGAATGTGACTTGAAAACAATTTTATGCTGTATTGATAATGCTAAAAGAAACTGAATTTTTAAACAGTAATCCAGTTTTTTCCACTATTTTAAGTCAATATAATCATATACTTTGCTATTTAAATGAGGATATAAAATTTTTACAGTAATCATCATCATATGCTTGAAATAAGAATTGTTGAGTCTAATGAATTTGATTTAGCATAAGAATTCTAGATATGTATAATTTAAATGTATCATTTTTTAAATATAAATTTTCCTGTAATATTTTAATGTAGTATAGTATAATGTAAGACCAAAAGAAAAAGAAATAAGAGATTTGGCTTTCACAGTCATCCCTGTAATCTTTCAAACTTCTACAACTTGAGTTTGAAAATTAAAAGTTATCATATGGATTTTTCTTTTAATTTTATTTTTAATTCATTAAAATGTTTAGTTTTGAAATGAAATATAAGTGAAATAATTTTTTTTTATTTAATTTTATTTATAACACTGTTATTTTGTTTAGGTAAAACATGAAGAATCAGAAAAAGAGATGATAATGGCCAGCAACAAAAGTTTGGCCGAATTTAATCTTTCACAACAACCGGAAATTGATAAATTATGCCGAAATCTAAGCCTGACATATGCCGAAGCAAAGGAGTTAAAGGAGGAAGCCATTCAAAACAAAGCTCAGTTAGGTACTGCTAAATCTTTGACTTTTTTTAAAGCAAAAAATTATTTTTTAATATGCCTTTTTCTCACAAAGCATTTCAAAAATTTTAATTCAACAATCAATTGAGCTGCAAAAATTATCTTTAAATGCTAAAAGCATGGTACAGTTTTTTGTGACACATCTTGAACTTTATAATTATACTAGCTGCAAGGACCCGCTTCGCTGGGTTTTTATTTGTTCGTACATTTGTATGTAATATAGTTTTATATATATATAAAAGACTGTTTTTCTAAGTAATCTAGAATCTAGCTGCAAGGACCCGCTTTGCTAGGCAAAAAGTAACGATAGTGAAGATTAAGATAATTACATTATAGCTAATCGTACCCGTTTTCACAGAATGCAAGAATTAGGTCCCCCGTTTCCAGACTAATTAGAGAATTTTTACGTTTAGTCAAACGAACTATTTTCAACGTTTCTGGAACGTTTACAATCGTTATATAATCGAACCAATATTGGAACAAACTCGAACATTGTTTGAATTAAATTCGAACAAAACATTCGAAATAGAAAGCCACTTTCAACCACTTTCAGCCTCATATCTCCCGCACCCTTATAGCTATCAAGATGCAACCACCCCTATGCATGAATGGAGACTTGGGGCTACTATCACATACAAACACCATTCACGTGCGATGTGTAGTTATTGCGGAAAAGTGAAATATAGGGACACACACGTCCATTTTTATATATATAGATGATTAAATGAAAAAGAGAATCATAAGCAATAGTGCAAAGAGGTTGGTAACATAAGTCAGTCAGTCTGATAATGATATTCAATTTAAGCTTGTTAATGCCCTACTACATATAATGAGAAACCCAAATCTTGAACATTTATTTGCTATGAACTCAAGAGAGAAGATTTGAAACTCTGGATAAATAAATAAAATTGGGCAGCCCTTTAACAACTGAAATTTGATTCTTTTTGTAGCTGTATGAAGAGAACAGTAATATAATCCAGTGTCTATAAATCAATGTCTTAAAGATTCATTTGGGTATACTTAGAAATGAATCCAATGTCTTGAAGTCTTTTTTTCGGATAACTTTATTTATGATAACTATATTTTTTTCCTTCTATACAAGCCACAGACTTACTATAAGATAAACTTTTTTAAACATAAGCCTTTGTTTGTATAGATGATACTGGATATTTTTACATAAACCATGGCCTTAATTTTCAGTAACTTTTTTCATAAAATTTCTACTAGGAAAATCTCTGTTCTATTGTACAAGAAATTTCCAATTATTATAACATTTAAATTAAATAATTACCAGCTAATACTTCACTTAGGAGTTAATGAATGACACATGGTTAGTCAACAGATGATACTAACTCCTGATATTTCTTGCTTTCTTTTTCTCATTTCACCTAATAGAAATATATAAATTAATACTTCATCACAAATTTTTTGTCATTTCAGTGGAAATAAAATTTATTTAAAAATGTCAGGATTATCAAACTACAAAAATTTTTGTGTGAAACAAATACATCAGTACAACAAAATTTAATGTAAAGTAAACAATTTTAATAAGTAATTTTTGGATATTTAGCAAAAAAAAAAAAGTGTTTTCCAAACAAAAATTCTTAGCTTTAAATTAGAGATGATTATCGATATTGATCCGGTATTGATATATTGGCGTATTGGAATTGGTTTATTCTATGAACCGATGCTCTTCAGTAGTCACTGTCAGAAAAAAGAGGGATCAGTTTGTAATATAACTGATACCAGTATTGGAAAATAATATGCTGGTATATCAATACAATTATCATCTCCATCAAAAAAAGAAAAAAGATCAGACATCAGTTTTATATCTACTTTAAATATTAGATTTGTTTATTGAAGAAGTAATAAAATATGAAATTATTTGTAAAAATAAAAGTAATTTGGTAATGTAGCTCATTCGTTATAATCTTAGCATTTTAAAAAGTGTAGCAAGTGTACTCTATAAATTTTACAAATTATTCTCTTACTCTAATATAAAATTTATTATAACATATATATTATTTATAAATTTTTTTTAGATGAATTATCTAAGCAAACATCATTGGATACTACTCTTGCATTACTTCAGACAGCAACTGCTGAAACTGAAGAAGAATCTGAGGTTTGTTGCTAAATATTTTGTATAATATATTTTAAACAAAATTTGAATTTTTTTCAAAATTAAATATTTAAGTATTGTCATTATAATTTTTTTTTTAAAGACTAGCATATGGTCTAAAAGAATTCTTTAATATTCTGCACATTTCAGGAGCCTGTAATCCTAACTTGTTTAATTAATGCAATGGATTCTGATGAGATCTTATTTACACATTATCCTTTATATAGTGGTTTCTACCTATTTGAATGATAAGTCTTGAGTGAGTCATAACTTGACTACATGTAGAAAGCTCAACTTTCTTCATTTCAAGAGGAAAGATTTACAATATATAGACCAGGGATGGCAAACCTTTATGAGTTTGCATCCCAAACTTTTACACATCAAATAGCAATATTTAAAGAAATTAAATGAATATACTTTAATTAGAATAAATGTAAAAAAGTTGATTGAAAACGACAGATGATAAATCGGAATCATACAAACGTTACGTGCCAGATGATTTCTCCTTACATTCCAGTTTGAGCATGCATGCCGTAGGTACCCGATATAGACTTCTATATTATAAAAAGGAGTGTGATAGCTCTTGGTTATAGAAATTTTTTCTGTAAATTATTATTACTGCTGCATAGTTAAGCCACTGGTTTGAATTAAGTTCTATGAGATTAGATTGTTGATCTTCAATGATTGGCACATTTATTCAGCTTACAATCAGTTGAAAGATCCAGTTGTTCCTGAAGAATTCTGGTGCAGTATCCCCTTATTCCTACTAACAAAGAGTATAATAGTTCATTGTTAAATTAATATTGTGAAGACTATGGCTCTTAACAATTTTGTTATTGAATTGTCTAAAAGTCATGGTTTCCTTTTATAGCAAAAATATATTAATTTATTTGTATTTTATTCTTTTGTTTCATAAATTATCATTGGGTTTGAAAATAATAAAAATTTTAACATTTCAAATTAGTTATACAAGGTCTGTTCAAAAAGTATCGGACCTTTGGTCGGCAAAAATAAATTTATTGACTTTGAGGTACAAAACCCTAATCCCCTTCAAAGTAGTCTCCTTGGTAATGTATACACTTCTCCCAGCGTTCCTGCCATTGCTGGAAACACTGCTGGAACACATCTTTTGGAATGGTTATAAGCCGGTCCATCGCATTTCGCATGATGTCTTCTCTCGACTAAATTTGGGTTCCTTTTTGCGGCATTTTCAGCTTGAGAAATAGCCAAAGGTCACACGGAGCCATGTGGAGAGAGTACGGAGCGTGACGAACCACAGGAGTATTGTGTTTGGCGACGAAAGCTCGAATCAGATGCGCAGAATGGGCGGATGTGTTATCACGATGGAGCTGCCAAGTTTTGATCGACCACAGATCCGATCGTTTGCGTCGCACAGCATCGGAAAGACGACGAAGGATCTTCTGGTAGTACTCCTTTGCGATGGTTTGGCCTTGTGGTGCTTACTCACAATATACCACCCCACGAGAGTCGAAAAAACTGTCAACATGACCTTGATATTGCTGCGGGCCTGCCGCGCTTTTTTTGGCCTCCAGGATCGTCCCCGAAAGCCTACTGAATCTTGCGAATGGTTTACGCTCGGGTATCGCCAAGGTTTTTGGCAAAATTTGATGTAATATCACTGCTCACGTTGTTCAGTCATTTTCCAGCTTAGTGGAATCCGACGAGAGCGCACTACATGACCTCACTCATAGGCCGATTGCCAGCAACTGACGCTTCCTGCAGGCGGGAAAAAATTCAGGGCTGTGCATGACTGTCCCCTCCACAACTCCACCGAAGCAGGCCTCTCTCGCATCATTGGTTTACGCGGGGAAAAAAAAGGTCCGATACTTTTTGAACAGACCTTGTATCTTGTTTATATATAAATAGATTCTTTTATGCATTATGTATGTGTATGTGTATTAAATATCTTGATTGAAAATCTTTCAGAAACTTGCAGAAAGTTTTTTGGATGGAGAATTATCTGTGGAAATCTTTTTAGAGCAGTTTTTAGAAAAGAGAAAACTGTCACATTTAAGAAGAATCAAAGCAGAGAAGATGGCCGAACTGTTACGGCATATCTCCACGCAGTCGGCAGTCTCCACTCCTAGGAGACCAGCACCTCCCGCACCAAACAGAAGACTGGCACCCACGCCACCACAATATCCACCCAGACCCATGCCGATGCCGATGCCGATGCCAGCACCCAGTTTTGTAAATCCATATCCTCCACAGTATCAATCATATCAACCTCCCTACCCTGTCGGCCCACCTATGGCCATGCCTCTACCACAATACAGGTAGCTTATAAACTACATAAGGTCAATTTGTCATTCAGAAACTTTACAGAGACTTAGAATGATCATTTTTGGCACGTGAAGATTGAAAAAAAATTTGCCTTAGAAACGATTGAACGTGTTTATTGCTGTTGGAAAATTAACTCCCTTTATCTAATGAAGAATTCTCAAAAGAATGTTTTTAAAAAATGTAAAATTAATTCACAATTTAAATACTACTAAAGTTTGAGTTGTGAGATTTAAAAATAAAAATTTTCTTGAGCATCTAGATTGAACATTAAGATTTATTTAAGTTTACAAGCTCTTTTAACTCAGTTTAATGTGCCATTTTCCTCTCGTGTTTTTGTAAAATAAATTCAGTAATCCCTAAATGTTCTTGAAAATAAAATATAATAATCAGTAATACTTTCCACATTTGTGTCTACATTGAATTACTATTATTTAAATGGGAGATTGAACCTTTATCAAACAACAACACTGCTACAGATATGAGGTATCTCTCGCTAGACTTGTAACAGATTTGTCAAATATAAAAGTCACTTATGCCATTGTATTTGGTTACTAAGAGCTATATCATTTGATGATAATTAGATTCACTTTACAATACCCAGTATCAATAAGTTTTTCTTTTTTTAAGTAACTTTTTAACCGAATGCGCAAAACAAATTTTGTGCCAATTTATATCATTAGTAGAAATTTCCTTGCATTCAGTTATTTTAATGCATTTTAAGTTGTTAATGCCAAAATAAATCCAAGATTTTGTAAAAAAAAATGAAAAAATGGATTAATGATGCCATTCAAATAAAGCCTTTCAATTGTTCCCTTTGTTGTATTTTAATATCATTTAATAAAAGTGTTTCAGTCGAAGCAGATATTTGCTTAAAAATGTTATGAAATACAGTGGAACCCACGTTAACGAATGTCCTGGTTAACGACCAAATCGGTTAACGAACTTTTATTTTGCAAAAATTTTGTCTCGGATAACGAACGTAACGGTGTTTTGTGTCAAATTTTAGTTGGCGTTAGGCATGCGCGAGTTAAGCATTGCTTTTCCGAGTGTTTGTGCTATACAGTAGACCTCCCTATAACGCGGGTTCCTATAACGGAGATTCCTATAACGCGGCGAAAAAATTACGATAATATTCGTATAAAGACGCGTAAAACGTCATCGCGGACTAGCAGCCGAACTACTTTCCGCCATCCAGCGCCACGCTACGGAGAGTTTAGGCGGGTAAATTGAGTTTACTATAGTCTGTACAGTATTATATATAAATTAGGTACCGTACATATAATTATATATTAACTTTATTATAATTATATGTATTTTTCCGCCGCGTGGCGCCACGCTACAGAGATTTTAAGCTAACTATCGTCTGTACAGTATGTAAATTAGGTACCGTAAGTCTAATACAGCACTAATTTTATACATTTCTTGTGAAAGAAACTATCCGGATTGTTCGGCCATAAAAATTATTTCTATTAATGATGTCTCCAAAGGTCAAGTTATTTTTCTGCGAAAAATTCGTTATCAGATATCGCGGCCGCCGTTTCGTGCGCTGTTCCGCGACGAAAATAAGCTTAAGCAACGGCGTAGTCGAACGGTGCATACTCGGTAAGTAATCCTACAATTTTTTGTTTACAGCATAGTTTATACGGATTATTCCCAAAAAAATTATACGTGTTTTGGAAATGTTAAGTCAAATTAGTCTAGAATCGATTAATTTTATGGAAGAAAACCTTTCAAACAGCCGTAGTCCCTAAACTTCACACGTGTCGGGCTGCGATTGGCTCGTGTATTTAAGGAATCCTACAACGCGAAATTCGTATAACGAGGAACGTATCTACGCGTTATAGGGGGTCTACTGTACTTCTTTTTTTCAGTTTTGTGATATATATTTAATCAATATGGCATCCAAGAAAGAAAAAAAAAGTCATAGTGGCAATAAAAAACAACAACGCAATATAAACGACAATGTGCCATCGCATTTGAAAAATTTTGATTAAAAGAGTAAGACAATCAACTTTAGATCAATTTATTGTTCCTTATGGAAAGCGTTTGTAAAGTTATGGCAACGCAACACTTGGGCGATCTGCCTAGGGGGGAATGTCTTCTGGGAGGTGTTTTTAAGGGAAACTGGCCTCTGTTTAGGCGTTACAGACGTGGAGAAAACCCGGAAAATTCCACGTGGCCAGCCCATCTAGCGAGGTGCGAACCCACGAACGAACTCCCCGTGTTCAAGGTACGAAGACCACTTAGCCACTGGTGGGTTTTTTTTTTTTTACCAAAAATGACTTCGACTCGAAGAATCTTCCGATGAAGTACTACCCGCTATTTTTTTTGGAGGGGATTCCCCTTCTAAGCATTAATGTTCGTATATCTCCACTTTTCTGCTACGAACTACAACAAACGAAGGTATGTACAGTGCTAGTTTATTAAACAAAGTTTACATGTTTGTTGCTGTAATGATAGATACTATGTTTTCTTACATTTTCATCAAAGAAAATTACTGTATATTGCGAATAAAATCACAAAAATTTCGGACACTAGAACGGATTAATGGCATTTGCATTAATTTCTATGGGAAAAATTGCTTCGGTTAACGAACGGAGTCGCGGAAGGAATTAAGTTCGTTAACCGGGGTTCCACTGTACTGTATATAATTAAATATTTTTTACTTATACAGAATGACCCAAAAATGAGTTAACCAGGACGTAGTTTAACGTATTTTTAAAAACAACTGTGTTATTTATGATTCAATTATTTCCAACGAAGTGAATGAATTGCAGATAACACACAACTGTTCCGGACTGGTCAGTTAATTGATTTCTGGGCCACCTATATTTTTACACATATATATATATATATATGTATATATACATACATAAGTTTTAGTTCAAATTAATGAGAATATGTAGAATAATTTTAATAATTTCTGACTTCAGAAGTTTTAATTTTGATTTTTTTTAAAGTCANGAAGGTATGTACAGTGCTAGTTTATTAAACAAAGTTTACATGTTTGTTGCTGTAATGATAGATACTATGTTTTCTTACATTTTCATCAAAGAAAATTACTGTATATTGCGAATAAAATCACAAAAATTTCGGACACTAGAACGGATTAATGGCATTTGCATTAATTTCTATGGGAAAAATTGCTTCGGTTAACGAACGGAGTCGCGGAAGGAATTAAGTTCGTTAACCGGGGTTCCACTGTACTGTATATAATTAAATATTTTTTACTTATACAGAATGACCCAAAAATGAGTTAACCAGGACGTAGTTTAACGTATTTTTAAAAACAACTGTGTTATTTATGATTCAGTTATTTCCAACGAAGTGAATGAATTGCAGATAACACACAACTGTTCCGGACTGGTCAGTTAATTGATTTCTGGGCCACCTATATTTTTACACACACATATATATATATATGTATATATACATACATAAGTTTTAGTTCAAATTAATGAGAATATGTAGAATAATTTTAATAATTTCTGACTTCAGAAGTTTTAATTTTGATTTTTTTTAAAGTCATGTTTCTTAAAATCGGTATAATTTTATTTGTATTGTTTTAATAGAATTTTTTTTAGAAACTGGAATGATTTACTTTAGGTTCATTCACTGATTATAGTATGTTATTTATTGCTGATCATTCAGAAATAATGAATAAATTACTTAATCACATCTCTGCAAGTCAGAAAACAATTTCCTATTTTACATGAGTGATGGCACCCACAGATATCTGGGAATATTACATGCGGCCAGCCCATTGGTCCAAGGACTTTAAACTACAAGGATAGCCAGATCCCGTATATTTGTTAGCGTGACCTTGGATCTATGTGACGTCACAGCAAGCCCTCTACTTCAACATGACAGATCTTTCAAATAACAAAATACAATAAAATATTAAATCATTTCTTAATTATTAAATTACTACTAAATGTAAACTACTGTAGAATTTTCGGATTTAATAAGTGTACTGTACGTCAATAAATTTACAAGTCTTTTGTCTANTACTGCTCAGGGTTCTCCAGAGCAGTAGTACCATCTTAACTTCTCGGGCATATGGCCATTGATTTGAGCACGCCGATGATTTTACAAGTAAAACAAGCTTTGAGAAAATTATGAAGAAAAATTATGAAAGGAAGATAGTTTAAGTCTTCAACACAGTCATTTCTCATCCGTAAGAAAACAATACAGTAAAACCCCCGATTAACCGAGGTTCTGCAATATCCGTTAAAGTGCGATTTACTGTAAGATTGAAGTGAAATACGCCGCAGAGTAACGTTAGTCTTGCACTCGAACTTTTGATTATTTGGAAAATGAAGATTTTCAAAATTGACCACCTTATAATTTTTATTTATGGATTTGTCCGACTACTGCACAGTTGAATTTCCATACACTAATGCAGAATTCCTAAAGTCAACATTCTTCAGAGCCTCTAACGCTGGTTGGATAATATTATAAACTAGAAGGGTTCCAAAGGCTGTGGAAGATTTAACAAGTAAGACTCCTGCTCTAGAGCTGCCGGCTCTGAGGTTACGCCTGATCCGTGTATTCTTCTCTTCGTAATATTTGTTGATTGGCGCGTTCCTAAACAACGTCGTTTGTCGTACCGATTCGTATTTTCTCGTAGACTGATTTTTCTGTTTCTGTAACCCAAGGATTTAGTTTTCTGTCACATGTTAAAGGGTCTCTTGTACAATCTGCTGAAATGTTAATGAAAAATAAGAGATCGTCTAACAGAATACTAAGATTGACTAGAAAAATGACATTCTTGATCGCGTAGAAAAAGTGGATATGCTTTAAACAAAGCGCACAAGCTTTATTACTGTCATAATTAAACGTGTCGAATATTTGTCACGTAGTCTAGTTACTTCAAAGTGACGCTTGAGCTCAACCCGAAAACATCAACAAAGAAAAACATTATTGATTTTCGGAGAAACACTCGCAAGAAGCATGGAAGATTTATTGGTATTACTACTACTAAGTAATTTCAAATATTCAGTCATATCGGCAAGTTTTGAAAGTTTGTGTCAGTGTCTATCCTCTGGCTTTTCATTGTTTTTTATATATATATCATTGGTAATTCACCTTGACACTATATACAAACGGTATTGGACGTCAATACTGTAGTATTTCAGCTCTTTTGGTCCATCCATTTTTACTCAAGAATAAAATTTGACTTTTTTCGAAAACGTCATATTATATGCACGGAAGGGGTGCACATTTATTTTTAAATTATACTGTAATTTCCTAAATTATTTTAAAAGCTTGTAAAAAAATTACCTTCGGCTATGGTTAAAATTTATTAATGTTTATATATATATATATATATTCACATTTACAAATTAGCAAGGTAAAAGGCACTAAACCTTGAGTTTCAAGGTATTTGCTGTGAATAATAAAACTATGATTTAACTACGCGATCAGTTGAAAAGTACGGTAAGGACACGGACAGCCTTTAAAGCAGTGTTTCTCAACGGGAACGATATCGCCCCCATGTGGAGGCGGCGATTAGTAACAATTTATATTTTGGGAGCGAAAAACAATTTTCTGGGCGATATAGTAAATTATATTAAGAATAGTTAGATATTTTATTCGTTATATCGTACAATAATTAAACATTATACTAGGGGTCTATTCGATGCAGTATGAATTTGACGTTAGCCTTGTCCCTCGGCATCGGAATTTTGTATGAAGGGGACGATACTACGTAACGGTTTTATTGAAGGGGGCGACGAATCGTTAGAAGTTGAGAAACACTGCTTTAAAGTCTACCCTACCAATAATGTCAACCAGTGATGCTTATTTTCGGTTGTATCAAGGACATGAATTCAAGGATAAAAAGAAAAAAAAAATAGTGCCTTTACCTTAAAAATTAGTAAATATTCTACAATAAAAGATGACTCTGCCCCTGAAGTGTGAGAACGACGAAGATAAATGAATACCTGTTTTCTTGTGAAAACCTTTTAAATATAATTAACGTCCTGGCTATTTACTAGTTTTGTTAATGTTAAAAATATTTTTTTCTGGATTTTTAGTAATTTTTTTAAATTTTCGAACAAACGACAAAATTATGTTAATTATCGAATCTAGTATTTCAAATTTATTATGGAATCCGTCTGCAAATTATGATACAAATTGAGAGCTGGCAACATTGAGCATCATAGAACGCGAAAGAAAACTTTCAATATGATTTGTGTTAAAAAAAGATCAGAACAAAACTAAATATTTAAATTACAAGTCGAAAAAAATAAATTCAAAAATAAGACTAGATCTGTGGAGAGCTACAGTTAAATGGGACGAATATAAATTTGAATTAGGAGGCTCCCCATGTATATAGCGTTGACTTTAGACATTTTTCTTCGGCGGTAATTCTTATAAAAGATTGGCTTGGGTTTCCATGTTGGTGGGGCCCCTTTTTGCCCATAGGATAACGCATCATTGGACTAACCTAGTTTTTAATGGTAACACTGCATATACGTAAACTTTTTAAAATATTGTTAGATAGCCATTTTCGATTACGTTTACGTTGACTTATTTGAAACGGGTCGATTACGTTTATTGTACATTTGTAGTTTCCTAAAATAAGTCTCTCTGACAATAAAAATTAAAAACTACCAATAATAGTGAAAATTATCATTCATTACATTGTTACCAACGAGATTCGAAACACTAACCTCATAATTATGAAAATGGCGTGTCCCCATCGAGCCATGTAAATGAGATTCTAAAGGCTAAGTGATTGCACAATTTTGGGATGCATTTTGAAAATGAAAAACTATTTTTAAAATATTAATCTATTATTAGAATCCTGCTTCAAAAAGCGGAAAACTTTCGAACAGAAATTTGTGGTGTTTTCAAATCAGGCAAACTGAAATTACTTTTTAAGAAATTAAATTGGGTGCATCAATTTCTATTCACCATTAAAAAAAATTAATTTAAATGAGGTGCTTCGATTTAAATCTCTCCTATTTCAAATGTTGTGTCTTATCTTTCAAACTTTTTAAATTGCTGTTTGTGGTTATATATCGAAACAATTTTTTATTTCAATTGCAAAGGGATAAAAACTTTAGTACAAGCTCGAGTATCTTAAAATGCAGACGCTCCGACTAATCTCGGTTAATGCTAGGGTTTTCGCGTGCGTTTTTGACACCTAATTCGGTAAATCATCAGATAAAAGTAATTTTTATAAATGGTTTTCAGCTTTCACTGTAAATGAATAATGAAAGGGAAAACATGAAAGAAAATATTGCATTTTGAAAAACACTTTTCATTTCATACAAATTCACTTTTACAGCATCATTGTATCAATTACACTAACTGCATTTAAAGTATAAACTCAAAAAGATTTGCAGCAAACAGACAATATCCAACACGCTTCAAACTCATTTGCTTTATTTTGGTAAAAAATAATTAACCGAGTGCGGCCGAACTTTTGAATACTGTTTCGGACAGGACTAATTTGATAATATCGCCTGTGTTTGGGCACGTTCGATACGTACCGTTCTATTTTCCCCGTCGATACGTCGTTACGTACAGAAAGGATACATTTGTAGGCAGAAACGTCTTTATTTTTAAACCTGATATTAATTTTTCTTTAATGCTATATTAAAAAAAATCAATGAATATGAAATGTCTATTCAGAATGCTTGAGATCAGTCACAAATGAAATTCCCATTTTAACTTCTCATACGTTTCATCTTTCATACTTGCACAGTTTACAATTTACAGAACAGATAATAATCCTGTACATGAAGAGTGAGTTAACTTAAAATAGTGCAAATCTTTAGCAGTCTGTATACGAAGAACAAATTTGGTTGGATATCACGTTTCGTACATACTAAAGCTCGTCGTCATCTTCATCTGGTAAGGGTGTGTTGTAAGCATCCTGCAATGACAAAAGTCGGAAAAAGTTATTTCCATTATAGTATATTATGCAATTAGTTTATAATATAGACAATTATGGCACAAATGGACGTTTGGCATGAGTGGAGCGAGTAGGCCAATTTCCATGAATGCCATACGGTATTTTGTGGTTGACTACACCTATAACACTATACTCATGGAACTCAAAATCATGTATGAACATTGTTTGTGGCACCCGTGTCATAAAATTTCTATCCCACGGGTGCCACAAACATTGTGTTTATACATGATTTTGAGTTCCATAAGTATAGCATTGTGTGTAGTCAAACCATAAAATATTTTAAAAGCAAAAACAAATTATTCTCTGTTAAATTACCTTCATTTCATTTTCGAGCTTGGCCTTCCATTCTGGATCCATGGTTACTTCTGGTGGTGCTAGAGCTGGCATGGCAACAAATTCGAGATTTGGATCTCCAATCAGTTTCCTGGCTAACCATAAGAATGGCTTTTCAAAATTATAATTACTCTTGGCACTAATGTCATAATACTGAAATAAAAACAGAATATTAGGATCTTCAAAATGTGCATGAATTATTAACTTTTAAGTTGGAGTTATTTTTAATAATCCAAGCATGCATTTTTTTTTGACAATTTTCATAAACTTTCACACATTTTAAGGATACACCAATAAAGTTATACAAAAAATACACATTTTTTTGTCATTGATAAGTTTACTAGTTAAAAAGAATCAGTATTTACCTTAATTTAGGTAACTAAAATTGTGAATTGGAAATTGAGTATCAGACAATCAAAAATACAAGTTTATAAATAATTTTTATATTGAATCCAATTTACAATATGAATATATTTATGCTCTAAAACCAGTTTTAAAACAGACAGTATCTGACAAATAGGGAATTAAATACATTTCAGGAAAAAACCCTGAAAAAGTTTTCACCTACAAGTGTTTATATAAAATCAACTGTGACAGTAATTGGAAACCAAAAAACAATAAGAATTTTTTGGTACTATGTAACTGAATTAATATCTGGCTAAATGTAAATGCAAATATTCATTATTAAAATGATATTTGCATTTTCAGCCACTATTGTTGCTGAATAGAAATTTATACTTAATATTTATCAACTTTACTAAACCAAATGATTGTCAAAATAAATCAGTGTTATTTTGCTATTAATAATAACCAGCAGATGAGCCTGGCATTGCCCAGGCAAAAAACAACAACAAAGATTAAGATTATTTCGTACTTCTAATCCTTCTATTCTAGTAGCCTGGGACACCCCTAGTGGGAGTTTCTAGCAGCAGCAGGTCATTCCATGGTATCAATAATAAATTCATATTACAAATAAAAATAACATACTGAATTTCTCATGGCATACCCTACTAAAATGCAAAAAACTGCATCAAATAATAATATACTGAATTTATTGTTAATTTAAATAATAGCTAGGGGCATCCCTAGTGGCCCAGTTTTTCAGCTTTATATAGTTAGATTAGATATCAAGAAATTTGATATTAGAGATAGACATTAGGTGTCATCTCTTACTAAATTAATAATTATAATAATTTATTTAAAAATTTAGAACAGCCCTGAGTGGAATTTGTTCCCACAACCTCTGCTTACCGTGTGATATGCCATCCAGCCCTCTGAGCAATTCTTCACTCCCAGACGTACAGTAATACCCTGAACTTACGTGATAGGTGGGACCGAGCAATAACCGCGTAAGTCGGGATATAATTTCGCAATTTATGTAAAATCCAAGTCGGATGTATGTAAGCTAACAAATGTTCTCATTAATCTTATCTCGTCTTTTGATTCGTTCACGGTTACAAGAAATCATCACATAGTCTCTCTCATATCTCCATAGATATAACAAACACAAAATAAATTGTAGCTATGTGTCAATTCCGTGCAACATATCCGAACATGTAAGCTGAACAATAGTGTGGGGGGAGTGAGTAATCTAGAGTTGTGTGGCGCTCAAACAAAAGATGAATCAACGAGATTTGCGTATGTCAAGCTAGCGTAAGTCAAGGTATTACTGTATTTAAGTAAATGCATCAGGAGGTTAATTTTATATATATATATATACACACACACACACACACACACACACACACACACACACACACACACCATGTTGGGTAAAGTGATAGCCGGCTGAGTGCCACAGTGTAATAGTACTAAGGCTGTGAGTGTAGTAGTAGTCCCCAACCAGCACTGTGAATGGTTATATCTAGGTTCAAATGGAAGTGAAGAATTTCTCAGTTCCAGGTGGCATAACTGGCAGTGCAATGCACAGTAAGCAGAGGTTGTGGGATCAAATATCACTGTGGGCTAGTTTTTTTTTATTCCAGACTGTTCTAATTATTTAATAAATTATAATTATTAATTTAGATAAGAGATGGCATCCAATGTCTACCTCTAATACAGTATCTAATTATAAATAGCAGCAAAATAGCCTGATTTATTACAAATATTGTTTGGTTTAGTATCAATGCATTAAGCTTTGGAAAGTTTATTAAAATTCAGCAATTAAACTTAATACTAGGTAGCCCAAAAGTTCAATTAATGTTAACTTGCTTAAAATTAAAATTTTAAAAAGCAAGCAAATTTATGAAATAAAAATTAATGAATTACTAAAAAATTAATATAAATTTGATATCTTTTGTGTGAAATAACCCAAACAATTTCTATAGTTATGTTGCAAAAGAAAAAAAAAAGTTGTAATGAAGAGTTTAAAAAATGCAGGCAAAATTAAATAATTATAAGAACTAAAACTAAATTAATACTAAAGAAATTAAACCAAAATCTAACTAAAACTAGAAATAATTAAAACTCTGGCCTTTAAACTGAAATTAAAATCAAATCAATTTTTAAATTTGTTATTTGTGCGTGACAACAACAGAACATTTTGCTTTTATTATATATACAGATAAAAATTATTAATTAATTAAAAATAATATAAAAACTACAACTATATCTGTATTCTGTAAAAACAAAAAGGTTATTATTCAAACATCAAACTTAAAGAATAGTTGCTATTGGAGCAAACGAATAGCAGTCTCTTCAACTCAAAGTCAAAAGTGAAGTCTTTTTGTTTTAACTATCCCTAAGCAAAGATCTTTCTTCCCCTTTGCCCCTTTGTTAAACTCTTTCTATGAATTCATGCCGAGTCCACAGAGGAAGTTAATGCTGGTCCTTTGGAGGAACAAATTGTAGACCCTACAGGTGACCCAGTTTGACCTACTTACACACTGCTTCTTTGGGTACGTTTGTAAATCAAATGAGTTAAATGCATTAATAACGAATTGTTCGAAAAGTAGTAGTCTCACTCAGTGTATGTGCTCTGCGGTGATGACATTTCAAACAAAATTCTAACAAAGCTCACAAAGAGTTAGTTTACTGTGTTCAGAAAATGGCGCCTGACGATATCAATGTTTCTAAATCTACTCGAGTGTTTAAATTGTGAATTAAAAGGTGAAATGATTGAAATAACTGTCCATCCGAAGCAATCTAAGAAAAATATTTTGGATGAGGCTGCACCAGCAACATTCATATCTTCGATTTTAGAAACAGCCATTTAGTTATATACAAGTCATTCAAAAGTCTAATGAAATAAAAACAACGACATCATTCTCGTTTAACTTTACGAATGTACCCTTTGCTTTGAATATAAATATATATAAAGGAATGCTACCTTTAAGTATTGGTAAATCTCTGTATGTGTGTATATACATACACACACACACAGACTTACCGATACTTAAAGGCAACATTCCTTTTCATATTCTTTTTAAACATAATTTGACTTGTTTATACCTTGCCCTCAAGTTTCATCTTTCCAAGTCCAATGAAAATGCATTTTAATGAGGTTTTACCTCATCATTTTCTCCATTCTAAAACATAATACAACCAAGTACAGAATTTAACCCTAACCAATTTCCCTAAGTGACATTAACCTGTCCTACGTTGTTCCCAAAAATATTCGTGTTGACCTCATTGACCTGCGTGGGCAATCCCAAATATTTTCGTGTTTACATTGAAACGTTTTTGATACTAGATGTCTCTATACATCATAATATTTATATTAAAACGAACTTTTAGAATATAATTTTTTTTGTTTCTATATTATTCAATATATTTATTTTGTTTGTGAAACACAAAAAAATAATCATGTTTACTGTATCGTAAAAAATTATTATTATTTTTAAAAAATTTAGGCTTAACATTGACGAAAATTCAACATGGCGTCACAGGCAACAAATAAAAATTTCAACATTGAATAGGTTAAAACAGTGAAAAACACCTATTCACAAATCAATTCACAATTTTAACATACTAAACATTACAAATTTTAATTACCCAAAAATAAATTTAATTAATGGGCATTTAGAAAATTTGTTCTAACAAGAATAGGACAGTTATACACTGAAATTATCCTTTTTTTATATATTTTTCACTCAAAAAAAGAAATTAAGTAATCCAATGGATAAACTTAAAAATCAATATTTTTTGTATATACAGTAATACCTCGACTTACGCGATTTTCAACTCTCGTCAATTCGTCTTTTGTTTGAGCGCCACTCAACTTTGATTACTAACTCCTCCCACACTCTTGTTTAGCTTACATGTTCCGACGTGTCGCGCGGAATTGACACATAAATAACACAAAATAAATTGTAGCTATTTCTATGTTTGTTATATCTACAAAGACTTGACAGACTATGTGGTGATTTCTTGTAAACGTGAACAAATCAAAAGACGAGATAAGATTAGTGAGAACACTAATTAGCTTACAGACATTCAATTTGGATTTTACACAAATTGCGAAATCATACCCCGACTTACACGAATTCGACTTACGCGGTTATCACTCGGTCCCACCTATCGCGTAAGTTCAGGGTATTACTGTACTAATTTTTAAAATGTAATGTTATACAATAAAGCAAATAATATATATCTTTTGTTACCTGAAAAGATTGATTTAAAAATTTTAAATGAATAAAATGTTTATTAATTTTTCTTTTAGTTAAATTTTGATGAAACAGATACTTGAATACAAAAGATAAGTTGAATTTGAAGTTTTCAATAAAGGGTCGATGCTATAGATCTGAGTTTTTCCAACCTTTTTCTCAGCACATAAATAACAAAATTATCTGTAATTTTACCAGTATATGTGTTACAAATTATACTTATTTATATGCTCTTCTAGATTTACTATACATATTTTGTTATGTACAGTAACTCTAGATTACTGTTTAAATGTCACCCATAATCAGTTGTGCCAGCATCAATAAATCAAATATTCGTCCATGGACAAGTGATTGAAAAACACTGCTAACTGCTATAAATTATTATTAATATACATGTGTATTTATTTGGCATTAACTAATTATTAAATTAAAAATTTATAACTACCTGCAAGTTCTTCTTCCTGTGAAAAACAATAGATTTTGCCTTTACTTTTCTGTCCTTGATATCAACTTTGTTTCCACAAAGAACAATTGGAATATTTTCACAAACTCGGACCAAATCTCTATGCCAGTTTGGAACGTTCTTGTAAGTTACTCTTGAAGTAACATCAAACATTATAACAGCACACTGCCCTAAAATAATAATTTAAATAATGTATATTCAAAAACATTTGATAAGAGTTTTAAACTGCCAAATGTCAAAATTACCTTGGATATAATATCCATCTCTGAGACCGCCAAACTTCTCCTGACCGGCTGTATCCCATACATTAAATCTAATCGCACCACGATTTGTATGAAATACCAGTGGATGAACTTCAACACCCAAAGTAGCTGTAAAAATTCAAGATAATCTTGATATATAAAATTATTCTATATTCTTAACAGATTTTTCTAAAGATTCATGAAAACAATGAATTTTAAATGCAATTGATGACATTTAAAATTTCTCTCTCCAATACCATCATTAAATATGATTATTTAAATTTAAAAAAAAATACAATGTTACATCTGTTGCATTTTTGAGATTTATCAATATAAAAATATAGGACTAGAAAATATTACTAGGATAAATGTAAATCAATGCTGTCTTATTAATGAATTTTAAATGACTAATCATTACAAAATATTATATTATTGTTATATTTGATGACTACTAATCAAAAAAAAGTAGTAGTCAAAAATTACTATATAATTTGTCATAATACATCAACATAGGAATATTTTTAGATCAATTTCATAAAATATTAAAAATATAGCTTACCAACATATTTCTTTTCAAATTCACCAGTTAAATGTCTCTTTACGAATGTGGTTTTTCCTGTTCCACCATCGCCAACTAAAACACACTGTAAATATTTTTATTTTTAGAAAGAAAAGCAATATGTTTTATTTTAAAAATGGTATCTCTTCACTGAAGATAAAATACTGAAATTAGATATTTTTTCCATAATGAATACAAATTTAAAATAAAATTACAATTTTAATTGTGTTGTTTTTAAAAAGTATTTACACTTTTCAACAGACCAGAAGTCTCAAACGTAACAAGATAAATGAGATTACTTATCTACTGTTTTGAATACTTAAAAATTTTAAGATATTGCCAACGTAAATCTGATTTAATTTTAATGCAGTCCATACTTAATTTTATGCATATTACAGTTGATAAATTTTATTTTCTTGGGCTCCAGCCAAAATATCTAAGAGCCAGCTCATTCTGACCTTTAAACTTATTTAATTTTTTTTTTTATACTGGCTTTTTCAAAACTTCTAACTTATTTAATATGAAATTTAAATCAATTGTGTGATCACAACGTAATTTACTGTAATTAATTAAGTACAGTCTCTTCAATCCAAAAAAAACTTCCAGTAGACTACCTCACAGCCAATACTTAACATATAAAACAGCTACCATTAGAAAATTCAAAAAAAAAATTTACTATAGTTTGAACCAAGCTACCCACACCCTTAACTTCATTTATGCTCTCAAGTTTATTAATCAAAATATTTTTATTAATTATATAATGTTTTTCCCTTTATGATAGATATATATTCTCTGCACAGGATGTACGCCCAAACCTCAGCCATTTAAAAATTCAATTTGTGTTCGATACTCAATTTGGTATTATGCTCTGTAATAGGCTTATGCAACAAAGATATCTATCTAATAGATGAAAACATTCATTATATTAATATTAAAGTTATTTCTTCATTTCTCAGAAACGAAGAAATAACTAATGATTTGAAGATTCTATAACTACAACCAATATTATCCAAGTAGAATTTAACCCCAAAAATGATAATTTATTAATTAGTGGAATACAAGTTTTGTTCCTGTGTCTTTTGGATTATCGTGAATAAAAAAGGAATACAAGTTTATAGCAGTCAAAATGGAATATCATATTAACTGTGTACTCCTCCTTATCGTGATTTAACCGTGTAAGATAAAAAAACGGATTAATCAAGATATGCCAGAATATGTATATAGGTAGTGCGCGTGTTGTATGTACGTGAAACCTTGTTCAGATTGCCAAACCAGTAATATCCAGGTATGCTGTTGACTGAAGAGGGGCATATTTAGCCCAAAACACGAGATGTAAGCACATATAAACTAGAATAAAGGTGAAAGAAAGCAAAGTGATCATTAAGTTGCACTACATTGTGTTGGATAAACAGTAAAAATACTTTTCTTAAGTTTTGTTAACCTATCCATGTTGGAATCTTTTTTCCGTTGCATGTCATGCCATGCTGAATTTTTACTGATGTTAAGCCTAATGAAAATTACAATTTTTGAAAAAATAACCAAATCATCCGAAACTATTTTTCTATTTTGCACAAACAAAATAGATATATTAATAAATGTAAAAACAAAAAAATATATATTTCAGAAATTTGTTTAATATAAAAATTATAACAACTAGTGACATCTAGTTTGAAAAATGTTCCGATGCTGAAACGAGATATCTTGGGTCCGCAGGTCAAGATCATTAGGTCGCGACCTAAGATATGTTGGGAATACCAGGGAATAGGTTAAACATCACTGCTTTTACTTTGATTAAGCCACTTACAGGTAAGTCATTACCACATTTGTAAAGGGTCACATTAAGTTTATTGTTCTCACTCTTTCACATAACTTTTCATTTTCCCAACTCACTGTCTATTTGGTGGTAAACTGTCAAAGTTGATTCGCTTTCATCTTTATGTCGTAAATAATTATTTATGACAAAGATGAGAGAGATTTGCAATGCTCATTAGCAATGGCTTTTTGGAAACAATCTTGCTTTAACTTCTCTAATATTTCCAATTTCTGTGAGTTCCAATATATGATATTTTCTTTTTAAAGCATAATTGAAGGTAACCATGCCAAACGGACCACTTTCCATGCATCTAAATCAAAACTGAAACCTCACACTGGATTTCAGTTTTGATTTAGTTCCACACAACTTACTCCATTTATGTCACAGCCAGAGGCCAGATTAGCAAGAGTTTACCATATATATTATTTAGTTCATATATCTGTATATATATAAAAAGAGTTGAGTCGATTCTTAGTGCAAGTAGAAAAATATATGCAAATGAAAAACTGTTTAACTATGTAATTGGATTAGAAGTTGCTAGCATGAGAACATACGTATGGAATACATTCAGAAATTTATTACAAGTATATCTAATTGTATTTTTCAGTTTATTGCCAAGATTGGAAACATTACCAGCTATTAAACATGTGATAAAACATAATGGTCTTATGAAACCTATAAGCTATAAAATGTCAAAAGCAAGGCACAAAAATATTAAAGTATTTATTTATTTATAACTATTAACCTGTCCTGTGTTATTCCCGACAATTCTCAGGGTCATGACATCTGACCTTAAGCGTTTGACCCGAGATATCATGTTACAGTATCGATACGTTTTAGATGTCACTAGCTGTTATAATTTTTATTATAACAGCTAGTGACATCTAAATTTTATTTATATTTTATTATAACAGCTAGTGACAGTATAATTTTTATTTAATATTAAAACTAACTTCCAAAATATATTAATGAATATAAAAACAAAAATAAATAGATATATATACAATATATATACATTTTTCATTTGTTAAAAATAAAAAAATAAATTTGAACAATACAATAGCCACGATTATTTTTTAAAAAACAAAATTTTCGTTAGACTTAACATCAACAAAAATGCAACATGGCAGCCACATGCAACAGAAACTTTTCAACATGGGATAGAATAAAATAAGCCTTTTAAACAAAGTTTAATTTTAATTATTTCTGTCACTAGCTGCAATCTTTGTACATTTTATACCCAAAATGGGGGTGTCTTAGTTTAGATATAAACTTTAAATACAGTACAGCGTCAATTATCCGAAAGAATTCCAGTCGGCAAATTTAACTTTTCGCCAGTGCTGTGGCACTGCAATCTTTGGCTATGTCTTGGGCTACTCAAATATTTTACGTTTTTGATACTAAATTAACTTCTGAAGTATAATTTTTTTATTGTTTTTATATTTTTCAATATATTTATTTTGTGTGTACAAAATAAAAAAATAATTTTTAACGATACAATAGTCTTCGTTAGGCTTAACATCGACAAAAATTCAACGCAAAGCGACACGCAACGGAGAAAAATTTCAACATGGGATAAATTAATATATTTTTTCGTACATGATCGGTTATCCGAAACATCCATCTTCCGAACAACCCCAGTCCCCAATTGATTCGGATAATCGACGCTCTACTGTATTTTCTACATGAAAGAAATTTAAAATACACAGTAAAATCTGACCTATAAGTTTGTCATAGCAGAACCTATGACAAACTTATGAAAGCTGGAATATTTTAGACATTATGGCATGACTCAAAATTTTCCTACAAATTATGCCTAGAGGAACCTGTGAAATGAAGTTGTACCTGTAGGTTAGAACCTGTCAAAGGCATAAACTTGCTTGAGTAGTGAATCAATCAAAAAACCTGATGATTCAAACATTAGAGAGGTTGAGGCGCAAGTACAAACATTAAACTTGTACAACAAGCAGACGTACACGTTTCACATTTTAAGTCCAAGTAAAAGTCATTGCAACGCTCGTTCACAACATCACATGACTCAGTGAACATTGTGCATTAACTCATAGGAAATTTGTTGAAAAAATGGTGGATACATTTATCATCGAGGGTTACCAGCAAAGGTAAATAAACAAATTAAACTGTTTAAAAGTATTTATAGGATGTTTAATAACAGTAAATAATTATTTTTAATTAGCATGGTGTCTCCTACCGAATGATTGGACGATAGGACTACCTCATTCTTTTGTCGAGGGAAGTGGTGGCTTATATAAATTCGAAAACAGCTCAAAAAATTAATTTTTAGAAAATTTACAAACGTATTACGCTGTTAATGGTAGAAGATGCCATGGAAGAACAAACCTACCTTAAGATAAGCTATTATGAAAGCAAATATATGTAAATTCTATAGGCACTTCACATCATTTGCTAAAAAATTGAATTAAGTAATTTCTGGATTAAAATTGTCTGTTTCTTTACAATATTATTTGTAAATGCTTAAATAATCATTATTTTAATAAAATACATCATAATTTTAACCACAAACACAAAAAAAAATAAGCCAATTGTCTACTTGCCATTCTAGACGTAGCAAACGCCATTATCGACCATATAGAATTGTCAGATGGTGGCGCTTGTCTGTCCACCATTCATGTTTTGGGCTGAATACGTGCGCATCAACCTCTCTATTATAAATGAAACTAAACTCATCAATACTTATTATATTAGGACAATGGATTTTAGGAAATAATTCAGTTAAATAATATAAAATTTAGCTGAAATTACAGCATTTGTTTCAAAAATTGTTTTAGGCACTTCAAATTAATATTGCTAAATTAAGTAATGATTTGTACAACAACATACTAGAAAACTTAAAATATCTCCAGCAAAGAAATGAATAAAAATTGTCCAATTCTAATTTTTATTAAAATTTCTTTGCTGGAAATATTTTAAAGTTTCTGGTGTGTTGTTATAAAATACCGGCAGTTTGTTTTATATGTTCAGAAAAATGAAGATTTTTGAGGTCAAGACAATAAGACTGCATTGTTTCCATGGTAAAAAGAAGCTTAACTCAGTGAGAACATATACCAAAATTATTCAGGTCTGATACTGATTAATAGTATATCTTTACCAATTATGGAGCCTACATGGTAATTTTGATAAACTAATTGAAAATCTTATGGTATTACAGATCCATCTTCAAATTGAATACATCAACTTCTGGATTGTATATTTGGATGAAATCAAGGCAACTTCCAATCAAGTTAAAGTTGGTTAAACAAAGTTATTTTTTTTTTTTGTTTTAAATAGATTGAGCATGATCATCATGGAAAAATAAGCAGATTTATGAAATGTTAAAAATATCAATAAGCATGATGAAAGAAATGTAGCTAGTGAAAACAGGATTTTTGTTAATCTTTTCCTCCAGAAATCTGTTTGTACTAAAGGAGAACCTATCAGATATTCTACAAGTTGTTATATCTATGTGGAATGAGAAAAGAATATAATTTTAACTAAAAGGAAAATTATGTATGATACAAGATTTTTTTGAGTTCAGTTTTGCATACTGCCTAATGTAAAGTTTGAAATTAAATCTTCAACTAGAATTGAATAATACATTATGTAACATTTTACTTTTAAGATATTCAGAATTCTTCTCAATATCAGGTGTGGTAGCTGATCAAATTTGATCAGCTACCACACCTGATATTGAGAACTGACTCAAACTAGATATTCAGAATGTTGCTGTGCCCATTTTATGGGATGAAACAGGACTTGAACAAACGAATAACAGTTTTGTATAAATCTGTCACTTTTAAAACAAAAATGTTTATCACTAAACAGTCCATCACGAAATCAAGTAACAAACAACAAAAATGTTTATATTAATATCAAAATTTTTATCAATCTTTGATTGTAATTGTTATTTTAACATATTAAGAAAAACTTAATGTCCTAATTGCACATTCAAAAAAACAACATATTTATTTAATTAATTCCCCTGGAAAAAAAGCTTGGCTTATCGATCAATATATTATTATTTTTAAGTTGTCTTGAAGGCATTACAAGAATTAAGTCTAATAATATACCAATACACAAGCTACAATTAATATAATGACAAGAGCTAAATATTGAACAACAAAGTGAAATATGTTAAACTTTAATAAGCAATTTTAAACACACACATTAAATTGTACAATAAATTTAATGTGTGTGTTTAAAAGAGGCCAGCAAATAATCTCTTCCATTTTCTGAATTGAGATAAAATCTTATAAATAGTAAATGTTATTAGAAAATTCTTCTATTAGCTATATTTCAATAGAAAACTTTCAGCATGTAAAAATAAATTTGCACTACTCATTTGTGTGTTTAAGCTTGACAGGAACTTAGACATACAGAAAAGATATTTTTCTGAATTTATGCTATATTTTACACACTTGTTCCTGGACTCCAGGTCCATTTAAACTTTAAAAGACCGAGAAAATTGCTCTACATTCCTCATGTATTGATAGGATTTAAAAAACTTATCACCAAAAATGTTAACTAATCACCTTTAATTATGAAGAAGATAAATGCAGAGGGAGCTCAAAAGTATTGCGATAGACATCACAAACATCGAAAGATGATGTCTAAAATGTAGACTTTTAGATGCTTTATATACATCTCTCTTTTTTCAATTAAGAACATATACATAAATGTGTATTTTCTTTGCCTTTTCCTTTCATTACAACCATTTTAATAAACACAGAAAAAAATCAACATCTAGAATGAAACTCAAAATAACATAATTTTACAAACAGTGACTATTTCTTTATTCCAACCTGCCTAGATAGAATAGAACCTGCCTGCCTAAATCTACTTAAATCAAAGTTTACGGCATTCTGTGCAATGTCAGCTTTCAAAAGTTTTATTGTAAAAAGAATTTTAAACAGTTGTAGTTGAACAAAATGCAACTTTTTTTTATAAATTCTAAAAAATAAATTAATTAATAGTTGTAATTTAAGATTTATTTAAAAGGGGGTAAAAACCTTTATTTTAACAAACATATTCCACTGTAAAAAAACAATTTCAAGTACAATTTTTGAGCATTTACCTTGAAAGTGGGAACACCATCACTACTTTCAACTGAAGGATTAGCTTGTTGCTGCATCTGTAAAAGAAAATCCAGTTTTATTAATTTTATTCATTAATCTTTCAATGCAAGACTAAAGAAAATTCCAATTGAATACTGAAATCTCAATATGGAATCTTATTTGCTCTATTATCATTATTATTATATTTATAGAATTGAATTATTAAAAATAGAATTTCCATAATCATCAAAAATTTGAAATAATTTTTAAAATAATGTATGAAAATAAATAGAAATTAAGTCATCGTGGAATAAATTGAATAGATTATTGCCAAAAGTGGATAAAATCATTAAAGTGAAGTCTTTCAATTTAAAACCTTCTCCAAACAGATCCTATACAGCAATAGAATCTCACTTTTTAATGTAAGTTGTTAATATAGATGTGTAACTAATATCAAGAATAAAAAATTGTCTTAGCTAGCTGTTTAAATAAAATTACTTATTTCATTATTATTTATTATATTCCCAATTATATTTATATGAATAGGTAGAGATTTAAATAGTTTACTATACAAAACTGTTGTTTTAGTGGGCAACAAATCTTTGTGTATGCGAGCCTCAGTTATCGGTCTTCATGCAGCTCCGGATATTGAAAAATTTGCACAATTTCAAGTTTTGTTCCCATTAATAGGCATGCTTACATCATATACTCACTCATTTGTCTGATCAAGAATCAGTGTAATTCAAGCAGTATACAATGGGTTTTTTGAGCTTAACATATACCTTATTAATTAAAGTATTTGACATTATGTCAGACTGTGCAATCTGAATTTAAAGTAGCTGAACATGGAGGGTGAGAATGAGTCCACCGCTGACAAATTCTTGATTTTTGATCATCTAAGATTGTCTAAGCACATCCTCAAACATTCTCAAGCATGGTGACATTTTCCAATTCTTGCAGTTAAGGCGACCAAGTTCTTTCACATTTTCCATTCTTCAGTTTGTGGGCACAATTTCTTGGGTCTTTGTTCTCTTCTCTTTCTAGTATTGCTTTCTTTCTGATCAGAACTGAGCATCTTTGATATTGAAATCACAAACAACAAACCCAGACTCATATTAGCAAAATGTAGACCATTCACTAACATGAAAGACAACTCACACAGCAACATCTAAATTCTAAACGTTCCCTTCAGTGCAAAAATAGGTTAATTACTGGAGATAGTGTGAAAATGCACTATTAATAAACTGCACTAGGGTTTCTCATTTCCTGATTTTTTGCTTGTCCCGGGATTCCGGGAAAAAAGTAAACTGTTTCCTGGGATATAATTAAAAGATATAAAATAAATCTTAAAACTGAATGATACTTAATACATCTTGCAACCTCCAAAATAATAATGCTGTGTAAAATATGTATAAANATGTTTTATTGGATGTAAAAATTTCAATAGAATAAGTTTTATCATGCTGCAACTCATTTATTCTTCTTAAAATTGCTAAATTATTATAATTATTAAAACTTCTGTTAATATCTTGTGAAATTTTCTTAATTTTCTTGTAATTCTAAAATGTAATCATCATCCTGGCTATTTACTAGTTTTATCAATGTTAAATTATTACAATTTGAGTGGTTTTTTACTGATGAAAAATTTAAAATTCTTAATTCATAAAAACTAATTCTTATTTTTAAAAAAACATTAATATTGCAAATGTTTAAAAATCTTGCTAAAGTGAAAAACAAGATTTTTCATACATTTTAATTTCTCAAAAAGATAAACTACATGTATTTATACTTAAGAATAAATAAGTAGCAGTATTTGTGTGGTTTATGCAGTTGCTCACTTATACTGATAGTGCTAAAATACTTTTAAAAAATGGTGGCCTAACTGTTGTAATTGAACTAACTGTTGCTTACAACAAATTCTCAAATTACTATATTTACCATATTGTTCAGAGATAGATGTTAACATGACAATTTCATAGAGAAGACTACATATATATATATATAGAATAAAATAAACACTAAGAAAATAATTAGTATTATGATGTTTATTTAGTTTTAAAAAAAAATGCAAAATTGTGAAAAAGAAACTGGAAAGACAATAAGCAAACTGAGTAGGCATTAAAAGAATTGTAAGAATGTCAAATTTACATTTAAAGTACAAATGAAATGATAATAGCTAAGGCAACAAAAAGCAGTACACATTCCAAATGACTTATAATTAGTGATAGGACAATCAGAATCAAAATGGAGAAAATCTCATCACAATTTCAGATTCTTAAAAACAATTCTTCCATATTTTATAAGAAAATTAATTTTTGTTTCAAAAGTTAAAAATTTTTAAATTACAATATTAACAATTAAATATTAGTTTATGGGAAACTTTCACATCAATAAAGCAGAAAGTATACATTGGTCCACACACAAGGTGATGTCTGTCACAGTGGACTTTTCTTTTGTGTAATCAGAGCAATGATAATTACACTTGGTTGGTTCTAACACTTCCCCATTTTAGAGAATGTAGGGTAACTTTAGAGTTGCCATCCAGCCAGCTTGGCCAGTAATCTGTATATCTATATAACTTAAAAACAAAAGTGTCACTGCCACACACAACATAAATTTTAAAATTAATTGATTTACAATTTGAAAATTTCAGAATAACTTTTAAACAGTTTTTAAAAAACACTGTTTTAATTTTTCATTGATCTATTTTAATTTTTGTGTAAAGACCAGTTTTAATTATTTTTTTTATTTTAATTATTTAATTTTGCCTGCATTAAGAATACAAAAATCCTTAATTACAATTTTTTAAATTAATTGCAACTCTAGTTATATCACAAAAAAAAAAAAAATAGAAATTGTTTGTGTTGTTTCACACAAAAGATACTAAATAAATTTAAATTTGATTTTTTACTAATTTTGTTAATTTTTGTTTCATAAATGTTATATAAAATTATTTTTAATATTTAGAATGTTGACTTATAATTATTAATTATAATGAGTGTCATTTTTAAGTTTTTGTTATGAGTCACAGATGATGCTGTAACACACAAATTATGAACTGATTGCAGGTATAAAGCTGTTTGAGGGTACCATTTTTGTTTGCTAATTTATAAAAGTCAGTCTTTTATTCCAACTACAACTGCCAACACATTTCGGGCATCTGTATGGCCACGGTTGACATAAGGAACTTGNTTAGAATGTTGACTTATAATTATTAATTATAATGAGTGTCATTTTTAAGTTTTTGTTATGAGTCACAGATGATGCTGTAACACGTTAAATTTTCAAATGCAATTTGTGCATTGAATAAAAATACTTGTTCGCACTAAGTTTAATGCCATTTTGAGTTTTAAAACTTGACTTTTTAAGATGAATGTCTAGATATTCATGGCACAAGTGAATGAATTCAAAAATCAGTTAACTCATGATGATGATTGTTCGGATCATCGCATCATTTGCCAAACTTCATTTAGTATTAAATATGATGAAGTTAAATCATTTACAAGACATGTCAGTTGCAAAAAGCACAAAAAAAGTGCATCATCTCATTTGCTTTCCCTTCATGCAGTCATTGCATCAGCCAATGAAGCAGTTTTCAAAGATGGTGACCCTACACGACACAATGAGATAATTTGTTCAGTAAAAGGGAATTAACTATAAATTTTTTCATGGTAGTGTTGCTATATTAACTTTATTCGACATAAAATTACAAATTTATTTCATGGTATGCAATAAAAGCATGCCATGCATACTCACAGATAAAAATGGAGAATTTTACATTTCTTTCAAAAGACTGATTCTGGATTTCCCAATCATTTTCCATTCTTAAGCTTAATGTTTATTAAATAAATGAATGTACTGTGCTTGTAATGTAAATTGTTAATTTTTCTAAACTAAAATAAACTTTAGGAAGTATTCAAAAGAATCAGAAAAAATTTTGGTATCGTCCCATCACTACTTATAGCTAAAAGTTTTGAGTATGTTGATGCATGTCATACATATGAGACAATAATAAATCTAACAATTTTGCTAGTTTTGCTGCTTTTCAACAAGTTGGTAATGATGAGTTACTATTATATGTAAATGCATCATTCATAATTTTACGTATTTCACTAACAAAAAGACCTCTTGAATTCAATGTTACTGCAACATTCATGATGTTAACCCACCTTTGAAATACTCTCACAAATAATTGGAACATCTTAAAAAATGGTAAATAGGAATAAAATATTTATCATGTTTATTAAAAGATATAAAAAAAATCAAATCAAAGTTAAAATGATAATAGAGAACAAAGTTTTGTTAGAAATTTTGAGTCAAAATTGACTGTTAAAAATTGCAAATTGTTGTAAATTGGCAACCACCAGGCAAGTGCAAGCCCTACAAACAAGAACAATATTTAAATCATGAAACTAAACTTCAGTAATGATGAGTTAAAAGCTGCATTAATTGACAGTCACAATATAAATGGCATTCAAGAATGTGTTTAAACATGACCAAGTTAAATTAAATGACAAAAGATAATATTATATTAATATAATATAATATATTATAATATTAATATTTAATATTAGGTAGCCAGTTAATTAAAACTAAAAATAATGACATTGTCACAATGCAGGGCTGCAATTTTTAATCATACTTTTAATTTATTTAACTTGAATTATATGCTTTCCACCTCAAATTAGTAGTGACTTGTCCCTGTACATCATACTTTTTCTTTAACAATAGAGTCATGCTGCTCATCTATCTAACACCTTTCAAGGAAAAATTTTTTAACTGAAATAATATGACTTCCAGTTTGCACCATAAGTTTGTATATAGTCAATCGGGGCCTGCTGCCCCTAAGGTTTTTATATCTGGTCTCATCTTTCATCTAACTCCATTCATGAGATTAAGGAAAGACAGACAGTGGAAATTTGTGTCTACAATTTTTACATATCGTAGCCCAATAACTTAAAAATAGTAAAATACTAATTAAAACTCTGGCCTTTATTCAAACTGAAACAAACTAAAATAAAATCATTAATTAATTTAAATTAAAATCAAGTCAATTAAAACTTAATACTTCTGAAAG